TAAAAAAATGCCATTTTTTCGACGTGACGAAAAAAGGAAAATAATAATCTGAATATTTATTTATCAAAGTTGAAGAATTCAAGAGAAGATAATTTTGCCTTAAAAATCGTTGTTTAAGTGTCAATAAAAAAAAAATATCATTGCACTGCATTGCATAATATTTTTTTCAAAAAATAATTTCATTTTCGTTGTAAATAATTATTTTCATATTTTTTCTCTCTAATAACAAAAAAATACCAGAAAATTAAACTTATTTTTTCGCCCCCGGAGATAATTAAAAAATAATTCTTTTTTATTACTTAAAAAGAAATTATTTCTCTCCGTTGGTAGAAAACAAAAAAAATTAAGAGAAAATTAATTTTTAGTTACAGAAAATAAAATAATTCTCTTTGCACAAAAAGAAATAAAATTTGTTCCTTTTGCAAAAAAAGTGGTAAATAAAATTTTTCTTTCCATGAGAAAAATAAAAAAAATGTTTTTTTATGAGAAAAATAAATATTCTTTCTTAATTTAAAAAAAAACAATTGTTTTTCAACGAAGAGGAAAAATTAAATTTTCCAGATGACAAAAAATAATTCAGTCGTGAAAACTCTTTTTCTTTTTTTTCTAAAAACTCTCTTGAGAACTGACTAGAAATGAAATTTTTCTCTCTCACTTCTTTTTTATAATTTTCGCAAAACTCTCTCGACTTTTCTCTCAATGCACACGACTATTTCTCAATGCGAGAGAGAATATGACGACGAGAGAAAAAGTGAAAAATGTTCCACTGTGAAAATATTCGCATCTCCCAACACTCTTTAAATAATCATAGTTCTCTCTTGCGCGCAAACCTATTCAAAACTCGCTTCTCTTGCCACACTCTAGATACGTTTGTTCCACTGTTATTTTTTTTTCTCTCTTCGTCTTCAGTTTTTTTTCTTCCTTTCTTTTTTTCTCTTTTTTTTTGATGAAGCTCGACGAGTAGAACAAAAGAGCGCATTTTTTCATCATAACTCGCGTCCCACTTCCGGGTATCAATGAGACGTTATTTTCTTTAATACACTATTTTACGTTTCATGCAAAAAAAAAATAAAATAAAATGAAGAAATGTAGAAAAAACTGACTTTCATTCATAGTAAAATTTTATAATGAAAGCATCTTTTTTATGATAACAGTAATCGCATTCTTTCTTCAGTTATTATTTATTAGAGAAGATAAATATTTTCGGTATTTTCTCTTTCTTCTTTCTTCTTCTTTCTTTTTTGTTTCTTTCTTCTATCTTTCTTCATTCTTCTTCTTTCATTCTTGTTTCTTGTTTCTTTCTTCTATCTTTCTTCTTTCTTCATTCTTCTTCTTTCTTCATTTTTTTATCTTTCTTCATTCTTCTATATTTCTTCATTCTTCTTCTTCTTTCTTTACTTTTCTGTCTTTCTTCTATTATTAAATGGTAAATTTCAAATGAAAATCTCAGGTAGTTTCAAGTAAAGATAATTTTATTAACGAACCATAAAAAAATTAAATAGCTTCAATCAATGGCGAATTCAATCGATTGTAGCTTCAATCACTGGTAGTTTCAATTTATGATAATTTGAATTAAAGAAGCATAAAAAATTAAAAAGGTTCAATTAGTGTCGAATTCAATTGATTTTAGATTCAATTAATTGTAGCTTCAATTGATTTTAGCTTCAATCACTGGTAGTTTTAATTGAAATTATAGCTTCAATTTATGATAATTTTAATTAAAGAACCATCAAACATTAAATATGTATAGCTTCAATTAATAGTAAATTTAGTTGACGGTAGCTTCAATTTATTGTAGTTTTAATAATTGATAGCTTCAATCACTGACAGTTTTAATTTAAAGTAGCTTCAATTTATGATAATTTTAATTAATAACCCGTCAAAAATTAAATATCTTCAAACAATGGTGAATTCAATTGATTGTAGCTTCAATTGATAATAGCTTCAATTTTTATTATCTTCAATTAATAACTTCAATCCCTGGTAGTTTTTTTACAGTTTTTTTTTTTTTTGAAAAGATGTTTTTTTACAAAAATTTTTTATTTAAAACATGTTTTTTTTTGAAAAAAATATCTGTGGGAGAAGAAGAAAGAGAGGGCGAGATTGAATTTCGTTTTCAGGTTACTGGGTGTATTGACTATATGGACATGTGATCACATAAACATCGTATCAGGTTTTAGAATGCTTGGATTTTATGAATGCAAAAGACGGTGAAGGGGAAGGCTATCAAGCGGGCAAAGAACTGACATATAGCCAATGGCCGAGTGTGTCTTTGCACGGATTTTAAACAGACGCACTCTCTTTCTCTCTCTCGTTGTGCAAAACAAAAGTTAGCTTTCCATCTGATTCAATTCGTGGAAAGAAACTTGCCACAGTTTTTTCGCCACATTTTTTCATTCTCTTCTTTTTTTTTTCTCTTTATAGTTATTCAACGAAATGGAAATTTTTTAATTAGACAATTGGACAATAATAAAAATATAAAAATATTAATAATAATAATAAAAATGTCCCTAAATTTGAATTAGTAATTTTAATAATTTTAATTTTAATTACAGTCAATTATTATTATTATTTTTATTTATATTAATATTATTATAATAAAAATATTGATAATTGTTATAAAAAATAAAAAATTCGCGATCATATGTGCGGGCAAAAGTTACGTTTTTATATATTTTAGAAAATGATTTATTGTCACGTCGTTGAGGTTCTTTGAACGGATTTATTATTTTTATTTTTACTCTTTTTTTCTTTTTGTCTTCATTTTTTTCACAAAGAATTTCAATGAGGTAAGTCGTTTTACGTTATTGCTGAACCCCTCGTGTTTATGGCGTAATCTTTTATTACTGAAGTCATACCACATTATGCGGGCGGAAAATTAATTATTATTAGACAGCATAACGAACTCTAAGAAAGAATTAAAAAGAAAAAATCTTAATTTAAAGTTCTAGCATTCCACAAACAGGATGTTGCTCAAAATTTATACATTTGTTGTTATATTTATAGTTTTTTTTGGAAAAAAAAATTTTGATCATATTTTATATTATAAAATTTAAACTAATTAATTAAAATGACATCTACCATTAAAATGCTAATATTGTAGTATTTGAATGGCGCATATGTCATTTTAATTGATTAGTTGAAATTTTTATAATTTAAACATTGACAATTTTGATTAATGCCAAAAATTTTAACTAACGAATTCTAATTTTAATTAAGTGCAGTTTTTAAACAAACTTTTAATTAAAATATATATAAATAATGATAGAAAAAAATAAAATATATTTTATTATTATTTTGTTCTTATATAATATTTGTTTTTAATAACAATTTTGGAGAAAACAATTAATTTCTAAAAATAATTGGGAAACAAGTGTCTCTTGTTTGACGCCTCACCGCTGTTAATTTTCCGCCTCGCGTTCCTTCTCATCCTCCTACAACTACTCTCATCTCATTAACAAGTTCACATAATGCCCCTTTGATTGAACCTCCACTGACAAGATTAAATTTTCACTGCTATTGCTGCTGATGCTGCTCGAAATTCTAGAGATTATTTTCTCTATATGAACATACACACATATATATGACCCTAATCTCCCTGGCGCTTTTGAATGTGAATATGAACCCCCCTCCACAAAATCTCGTTATATCTCCCGACATACTTTCAAAAATTCTTTTCCAAAATTCTCATATACATATATATATATATACACGTATACTTCATTTATTCTTCTCCATTTGATAACAATGGAATTTTCTTCCACATTTTCTTGGAAAATAACCTTTTTTCTGAATTGCCCTTTGAAATAATTTATTCAATTCTTTTGAGAGCAAATTTTTCATTCTAATTTCGTTAATTTTATGAATTCTTTAGTTTAAACTCAAAAGAATTTTTTATTAGATATTTTATCTATTTTTGTTGGTTTTTTCTTATTATTTTATTTCTTTTTTTTTACTTTTTAGGTATTGCAATTTTTTCTTTTTTATTTATTTTTTCTGTTTAATTTTCATTTCATTTATTTTAAAGGTTTTCTTCCTTTTTTGCTTTTCTTATTGGATTTTCTTTTTATTTCGTATTTTTCTCTTATTTTTCTTCTCTATTTCTTTTTTTATCCTTTTTTTATATTTTGTTGTCTTTTAATATTTTTGTTTTTTTCAATTTTTTTTTATTTTTTTTATTTATATTTTTTTCTAATCTTTGTTTTCTTTTTTATTATTTTTCCGATTTTTTTACTACTTCTAGTATATTTTTATTACTATCTTTTTGTTAGTTTTTTTATTTTAGTTCGGTTCCTTTTTATTATTTTGTTTTTGTTACTTTCTTTATTCAAAATTATTGACAGAAATACTCATTAAATTATTTTCCGTTAATTAATTTCAATAACAATTATTTTATTCGATAATAAATAAATTAGTACATAAAAATTCGCCCACGAGGGGAATCGAACCTTGGACCCTACAGACGCGAACCCTGTACGTAGACCACACGGCTACTCCAACCTCATAAAGTATCAATTAATTTCTCCCAATAAACAGCGATAGCAAAAATAATAAAAACAGTAATAAAATTATTACAATAATAAATAAATTTATCATATAAAAAATTAAAATAAATAATAATAATAATAAAGAATATTTAAACAATTGAAACAAATTGAAATCAATTATTATCTAATACCAATTATATTTCTTTAATAATTCTCATCAACCTAATTAATGTGTGAATTAATTAAAATTGAAATTAATTGATTATGTAATTTGCAAAATATCTTCCCTCTATAGAATAGAAATTAATGATAAATAATACATAATTCCATTAACACAATAATGCAACATACTTTACTTATATAATAACCTATAACAATTAAATTTAAATTGGAAATGAATTTGATTACAAATACTGATATTATAATAATTTAGATAATTCTATTGTTAATTTCTTTTTGCGGTTGTTGTTGTTATTATATTGGATATATCGAACGTGTAAAGCGAGTGCTCACCTCAGTAAAAAATAGTAGCAAAATTAGTAGAGACCGGCAAAACCGTGAAAGCGGTTCCGGTTGTCGATTCCTCGCAAGTTTCATGATTCCTTATTTTTTTTGAATAAAAGTTGAAAGTTGAGTGGGGGGAGAGATGAAAAGAGAAGGGGTAACTGATAACTTAGCACAAACTTCACGCTATAAAACACATAACATCCCCACCACTTTAGAAACCCTTTTCACACTTCTTTTCTTCTTTTCTATTTTTTCTTTACTTTTTTTCGTTATTTTCGTTATTTACTTCTTTTATTTTTTTACTTTTTTTACTTTTTATTAAAAATCACTCTCGCACTTTTTTTAACAAACACAATTATTTTTTTTTTGGTTGATATTGAAAAAAATGATCAATGATGGGACGTGGGGCAAATCACACTTGAAGTTGTCGTTTTCTGAATTGAACGAAGTGTCCCCAAAAATGATTTTTGGGTCGTGATTATCACGAGAAACGATGTCGAGACCTGCCCCACGTCCTTGAAGATTGAATAGACACCTGCACGGGGTCTGATGAACAGTCCCATCGATCAGGGCCCATTTTCCTTTAGCTCTCGAAATTTCCTCGTTTGCGCTCTTTTTACCTGTGGAGAAAATAAATTTTTGATAATTATAATAATTCAGTTTAAAATTTGATAAAATGGAAAATTTATTTTAATTACAATTCAAAACGAGATTTTTTGTATTGAAGAATTTCATTTGTAATAAATTATAAAAAGTTTTACTTTAAAAAACATATTTTCTATTGTACATTTAAACGCTGATTCTAGAAATTTGAATGACAATTTAAAAATAAATGATTATCTCGATGAAAATTGTAAAAAACTGCCTAAAATTTCGGATTTTTTGCAATTATTTCGACAAAAGAGCAAAATTAGAAAAAGAGATCATTGCAAAAGTATTTTTTACATGTATTTTGATACACTGATTAGGAAACCGTAATGTAAATAAAAGAAAATTTGATTGCCTATGCGAAAATCGTGAAAACCCGCCTAAAATTCCGGTTTTTTGCAATTATTTAGAAGAAAAAGCAAATTTTGAAAAAGTACTTTTTGCGGAAATGTTTTTTAAATGTATTTTGATACATTGATTATGCAACAGAAATTAAAATAGAAAAAATTTTGATTATTCCAGCGAAAATCGTGAAAAACCGGCTAAAATCCGGTTTTTTGAAAATTATTTCGAGAAAAAAGCAAAATTTAAAGAAATACTGAATGCAAAAGTATATTTTAAATGAATTATGATACACTGATTATGAAATTGAAATGTAAATAAAAAAAAGAAATGAAACCCTAAGCGAAAATCGTGAAAAACCACAAAAAATTCCGGTTTTTTGCAATTATATCGAGAAAAAACAAAATTTGGAAAAGTACTCGTTGCAAAAGTATGTTTTCAAATATATTTTGATGTATTTATTAGGAGACCGAAATGTAAATAAAAGAAAATCTAATTGCCGTAGCGAAAATCTTAAAAAACCGCCTAAAATTCCAATTATTTGCAATTATTTTGAGAAAAAAGCAAAATTTGAAAAAGTACTTGTTACAAAAGTATTTTTTAATTGTATTTTGATTTATTGGTTATGAAATAAAATTGAAAATAGAAAAACATTTGATTATCCTAGCGAAAATCGTAAAAAACCAACTAAAAATCCGGTTTTTTGCAATTATTTCGAGAAAAAAGGCAAAATTTAAAGAAATACTGATTGCAAAAGTATTTTTAAATGTATTTTGATACACTGATTACGAAATTGAAATGTAAATCAAAAAAGAAATAAATCCCTAAGCGAAAATCATGAAAAACCACAAAAAATTCCGGGTTTTTGCAATTATATCTAGAAAAAAACAAAATTTGAAAAAGTACTCGTTGCAAAAGTATGTTTTCAAATGTATTTTGATGCATTAATTATGAAACAGAAATGAAAATAAAAAAAAATTTGAATCCCTAAGCGAAAATCGTGAAAAACCGCATAAAATTCCGGTTTTTTGCAATTATTTCGAGAAAGAAACAAATTTTGAAAAAAGTACTTGTTATAAACATAGATTTTTAAACTTATTTTAATATTTTGATTATAAAATGCGAAAGAAAATTTTAAAAAATTGGATTATCTCGGAGAAAATCGAAAAAAACCGGCTAAAAATCCGGTTTTTTTCGTTTTTTTCCAAGAATGTAAATTTATTCAAATAATCAAAACATTTTTTATAATCAACACCTTAAACTTGATAAATTTGATCTTTTCAATTACTTTTTCTTCATTAAAAATTTTCGTTTCTCTAATAAAAAATAAAAATAAATCTATAAAATTCGTATCGAAAAGAATTTTTTTATTTTACTATATATTATATTCAATATCTATTATATAAAATATACTTGTGTTGGCATTTTCGATTTCATTCCCGAGAGAGTCACATTGATCGTTTTTTTTATTCAACTTTTGTTTCTTTTATTTCTTCATTAAATGCTCCATTGTTTGTTTTGTTATTTAAAATACATTGCCGCTGAATTTTTGCAGTCTAATTAAAAGCATTGAATTGAAAATATCTGACTCAGAGATATTTGAACAATGCTCAATGTGCTCATGGCAATTTGAACATCTGGCTTGTAACTGATCGTTAATAATATTGAGACAAAAAAAATTGTCACATCACATATGGAGGATTCACATTTTTTTATAAATGTCGTACTCGATTGTTTTTATATATATTTATTTTTTAATTTTACCATAATTTTTTTACCTAATTTATACATTATTTTTATATTATAATTACTACTATACTACTACTATTATTATTATTATTATTATTATTATTATTATTATTATTATTTGATATTGATAAAAATTATTAATTAATTAATTAGTTAATATTAGTTATTAAAAATTATTATTATTTTTTTATAAAAATTTACTTTTAAAAAATATAATGATAGTTTAAAAATAAATGGAAGCATAAGAAAAAAGAAAACTTGCAGAAAATATGAAAATCACATTTTTTGTATAATATTCCAATTCATTTGAATATTCAATTCTCCTCATTCTATATTTTAGCTTCATTTCCTTTTTCTTATTTTTTGCTAGTAGTCGCAGTAAAACCTGTTGCTGAAGGAGGTAAACTATATCCGGTTTACTGCACACACAACTATAAAGGCCAACTTTAATTCTCTCCCCAAAAATAAAATAAAAAATTAATTTTTCATCATTAAAAATAATTGTTCTTTTTTGTTGTAACCACATTTTTTTCTGCCTCAATTTATAACGAACAAAATTTATTTAAAATTTTTTTAAAGAAATTTTTTTTAATTCGTCTTTTCTATAACAACCCTTGAGTATAATTAATTAAATTAATAATTAATTGCTTTAATTAAAGTTATAAATAATTATTTTAATTACATTTATAATTAATTAATTTTTTCATTTAATTAATAATTCAATTAATAATTTTGAATGTGGAAAAAAATATTTGAAATATTTTCCTTTTATCTAGAAAAAGGGAAGAAAAAAATGCGGAAAATATAAAAAATATTGCCTCTTTATATATACTTCTAAACAATCTTTTCTCGAATATTTTTCGTTATCTTTCCTTAAGTATTTATTTTATGTCATACTCTTTTTTTCTTATTTATATTACTATACCTACAATCATTTGCAAATGTTTTTTTACCGTCAGCTATAAACTTTTACTAATTTTATTTACTTTTAACTTTTACTTTTTATTTATCTTTAAACTTTTACTTTTTTAAATTTATATTTAACTTTTCCTTCTAAATTAACTTAAAAATTGTTTTATACTTTTAGTATCTTTATCAATTTTATTTTAATAATAATAATATTTCACAATAAACAAACATTATTAATTTTAATTAATTAATAAACATGAATCAGTTAAATATTGTATTAAATTAATTATCAATTTAACATTATAGTAAATTATTTATTATTATTATTTTATTAGAATTTAATATTTGTTACTTCCTTTTTAATGACTAATAAAGTTTGTTTATTTATTTTTGCAATTATGTTAACAAATTAAGAAAAACCATTATTTTGTCATATGATAAACAATATAAATATTGCATTGTCAACAATTATTTTTAATATTTGCTAATTATCTAGTTTATGACAATTAAAGAAAGAAAAGAATCCAGAAAAAGCGCGTTTTAAATCATTGTTACAAGCCGAGTTTTTCATAATTAGCATGTTTAGGGATTAAGAGTTCTTTTATCAAACTGCATGTATGCAATTCTTTTGCACGCAACGGAAGTGTTTAAACAACTGTTACTAATATCTTTAAAGCAAATGAAGCCGCGAATACCACAGAAAAAATGCGTTAAAAACGAAAAATTAACAATTTTTCTCCTAACAATAAATTATTATTAATTAATTATTAATTTTACGTTTAGAATTGTTAAATTATTATTTTCATATTTATAATTATTAAATAATTGTTACTTAATGTTTATAATTGTTTACTAATTATTAGTTTAATATTTTTTAATTGATAACTAATTATTAGTTTAAAATAATATTCATAATGATTAGTTATTTGTTTAATATTTACAATTATTAACTAATAATTAGTTTAATATTTATAATTGTTAACTAATTATTAATTTAATTTTCATAATTATTAATTATTCGTTTAATATTTATAAACTGTAATTACTTATTAACTTAATATTTACTTAATTAAAACAGAATGTTTTAATTTTAATTAATATAATTTATATTTTTTATTTAAAAATTTAAGGAATTTAAATCCTTAAATTAAAAATATAAATAATATTAAGTAAAATCTATCTAGGCTTATTCATTATATTTAAAAAAAAAACAAAATATTAACTAATAGTTTAATAATAATTAAAATAAGAATGACAAAAATAATAATAGTAGTAACAGTAATGACAATAACAACAAATGAATTAAAATAAAAATAATAACAAAAAAGCTAATAATATTTAAGAGATTGTAAATATTCACACCTGTCCTTATGAATATCCTAGGACAGGAGAGCTCCTCCCGTGTCCCGGGTTCCTGTGTGAGTAGGTATATATATATTTCAGTGTATATATATTTATTTCCTGACAAAGGTAGTCAAGGAAACGAGGATAATTATTTTTGTTTACGTTCCTTTTTTTCTTCTTCTTTTTTCTTTTATTAAAATTTGCGAATGCAAACACAAGAAACGATTGCCAGGATAGAGCCGTGTTTTATAATAATTGTTTCGCGCTCACTGCACTGACAGTACTAGTGGAACTCGCCTGACGGAGCACTTTCATGATTCTTCTTCTCCTCTCTTGTCTCTCTTTCTCTTTCTCTCTCTCTCTTTCGATATGTATTCCCCGCACCCGATTCAAAAACCCGCGTGCCAACGAAGCTCAACTCTCTCGAATCGACTGGCTACTCCTCCGGCGCGGCAGCCAAACCGCTTTGCCTCGCCTGTATTGTGCCTTTCCATTCCAATCCACCCCCGCTCTCTCCCTCCCCCTCTCTCCTCTCACAGAACCCCCCTCTCGCCTATCCTCACGATACCTGCCACAACTGTGCGCGCACCCCTCCTCTCTTATTTTCCCCCCTCTCTCCTTGACAACTCCAGAGAGGGTTTTCAGTTCTCCCCCCACCCCTCTTCTTCTCTTCCTCCTCACATAAGGTTGAATCCCTCTCTTGCTCTCTCTCTCTCCTCAGGGACGTAGACCTCAATAGTGGAGACCTCTCTCGTCTCTCTTTTTTCGTTGATGGTGATGCGAGAGACAGCAATGAGAGCATGCGAGAGAGTAACAGGTACCAGGAACGTGTCTCTTCTCATTTTGCTCCAGAATTCAGGTGGGGCAAAAAAAAGTTTTTTTTCTTTGAGGTTAGTATTTGAAAAAAGTGGATAATAAGTCAAAGGAATGTAAAACAGACGTTGCGTAGTTGAATTGCGCCAAAGAATGACACAGAATTGGAAAAATGGAAGAAACTGATATTATGGGGTTAAAAATTAGGGAGGGGATGTCATAATTGGCACATGAAACTTAGACTGGGTCTACCAGACCAGTTAGGCATTAGGTTATGTTTATGTTTTTCTGCATTATACTAAAATTACTCGTCAGTCAGAAATCCAACTTTTAGTTTTGTTTTTGGAGAATTTTACGATTTATCTTTATTAAAAAACCATTTTTTTTAAAGATGGATCTTGTTCTGCAGCATCTGAAACAGAGAATAGAAAATTAAGTATTACTCTAAATTTTGTTTTAATTTACCTAGACACTGTCGTTGTTTTTTCTTCTTCTTACAATTTTACGATTTATCTTTATTAAAATACACTTTTTTCAAAGATGAACCTTCTGCAGCATCTGAAACAAAATAAAAATAATTTAGTTCTTCTATAAATATTTTCATACTTAACCATATATTACACTGTCAGTCAGAAATTCGTCGTTGAGTTTTCTTCTTGTCACAATTTTACGATTTATTTTCATTAGACAATAACCCTCTTCTAAAGATGATTCGATTCTTCCAAGGCATCTGAAACAGAAAAAAAGTAAGCTTATTATTAGTATGTTTTTCAGATTGTTCATACTTGTTCTAAGTTATTTCAATACGACAATACTAAAATTTCTATTTTGCATCGCAAAAAAAATTGTCATAATGGTTACTGATGACACGGCGCCATGAAAATTACGAACAGCTGAGCCAGTTTTCGCGCATGCGCGTTTAAGTTCATAAAAGAATAAACCCTAGACGCCAGTATAGGTACCAACGTTAAAATTTAAAACTAACTAATAAACCCTAGGAATTTTAAAAATAAATATTATAAATTGTTTATATTTAATTATTTATGTGAATTCTATAAAAAATAATTTAAAATGTTATAAAACATTAAAAAAACCATAACTAAAAATTCACCCAAACTTTTTAGCAAGGACAAAAATATTGTTGTTTTTAGTAAATTAAAAGTATAAAACACTAAATCAAAAGAAAAAATTGTTATAAATTTCAATTAAAAAAAAAGAGAAAATAAATTATAACTTCCTTTCCGAAATATATCTTTTTAATTTACGAATATTTTATAAAAAAAAGTATTTAAAAACAAATTTTTAATTATTTATTAAACTGCAAAGGCAATAGTTACATAAAATATTAAGAGATTTTAGTTACAGAAATATTTTGTATAATTTTTATATATTTTTTTTCAAGAATATTGATTCTGGACCTTTATAAAGTCCAGTTGATTTCAACATTATTAATTAAATTTAAAAGTAACTTTCGGATATTTACAAATCGCTACTAATTGACTTTCACGATTTTTTCCATTTTGTGACGGATTCTGGAATAAATTTAGAACTATTTCCGTTTTAATATAAAACTTTTACTCTAAAAATATGTACATATAAAATTATTCTCTGCGTTTATACATTAAAAGAAATGTAAATTTAATCATAAATAAATAATCAAATTGCATTTGAGAAAAAGTAGACAATTATGCTATGTTTAATTAATTTATTATATATTAGTAAATTAGACATTTATAAATTATTAAAAATAAATTACAATTACATATAAAAATTAACAAGTTATTAGTTATTTGAGAAATCCAAAAGAATTTTAGTTAATAAAATTAATATTAAAATAAGTTTTTAAAATAATTTAATCAATTAATAATTAATTTATTATTAATTAAGTTAATAATTAATTTAATACTAATAAATTTAATAAATAATTAATTAATAAACTATTAAGCTAAGTAAATTGATTAATTAATTAAATAGATTTAATTAAAATTAATTATTTCGATTAAAAAAATTAATTAGCGATAATAAAATTTTTTTCTAATTCTTCGGTAAGGTTAATTTTGATTACGTTCCTGACAGAAACCAACGTGCGTAATATTCTATCTTTGTTTCTCTCTCTTGTTGTTCACAGGTTGCACACCTTGGGACCCCTTCCACACCTGCAATATGCGCCGGCGCTGACTCAGGTCTGTATTATTTGCTTTTTTTAAAAAAATCTCTTAAACCTCATAGAAATACATTTGAAAAAAGAACCATTAAATATATCATTGAAATAAATATTTTATCCTCCATTATTTTTATTCGACAATAAAATTCTTCATTTAAAAAAGATTTGGTTGAATTAAAATTAAAACATTTAAAAATTAACTATAAAATTCGAACATTTAGGTAATTAATAAATTCAAAAATTTGTTTTTAAACATTTTATCAATTAATTTAAAATAGTAAACAAATAAAATAATAAATTCAAATTTACAAATTTTATAAACCTTACAAATTATAAATATTCAAAATCATTTATTTAATTTAAATTTGTTCCATAAGATAAAAAATTATTTTTATAAATTAAAAAGTTCGTTTTATTAAAAGTTACAATTAATAAAGTTAAAAATTCATATAATTAAAAAACTGCACGTAATAAATTTAAAAAAAATGATTAATTTAAAAGCTAAACTTGAGGCCCCCTAAAATTGTTAATTATTAATAAGAAAAAATTTATTCTATATAAAGAAAATGATCCGTTTCAAGAAAACAAAAATGCGTTGACAGAAAAACTTTTTCTTTCGGAATAAACAGATCAAAAGTTGAGATGTGAACTGTATGGTTGAATTAGCATTTGGAAAAAAAGTAAAAGCCGTTATTGAAGAACTGTTCTTTGGCCTTGTACGGAAGAAATGTAGAAACCAGAGAGGGTATTCGATTTCTCTTTATCGGCCGAACTAATAATTTATCATTAGAGAAGATATTCGAATTTACTAACCGTCTACTGATAAAGTAGAAATATCTCTAAACCAAGCATGGTAACCGTCTCTTCAGATGGTAAGAAATACCTCACAAGGTAACTTATCGGTAAATGAAATTAGCTTGAGAGTTATACTTGGCGAATAAAGAAGAAATCTTTGTTACTGGATGTCAATTTATCAACAGTTGGTAAATCAAGAAATTGATAAAAAAAATTATCTACGGATTTTAGAAGAAAATATTATTTCTTATAGATGTCACTACTAGAAATTAAATTTTTTGATTTTTAACGACCTTTTTGTTAAAATTTATATTTAGTCTTTATAAATGTAAACATTTATCTTTTCTAAACGTTTACATTTATAAATATAAATTTCTAAAGCTAAGTCTAAATCTCTACATTTTCCTTCTTTAAAATATTAGCAATTAGCTTCAGTTTCGCTAAATAGGAAATTTAACAATGTAAGTACTTTTGCAAAGAATTCTGCGTTTTTTTAAAAAAAAGTACATTATTTTAAACTTTACTTTAGTAATTTACACTAAAATAAGAAAATTATTCATTAAAACTTGTTAAATTGGTCAGAAAACATGAAAAAGACCAAAAAAAAAATGGTATTTTTTATAATAAATAATTAGTGATAGATAAGAAAAAAATATTAATACCTATTTTAAATTAAATTATAAATAAATGCTATAAAAATAAGTAAAATATAATTAAAAATAAGACATTGTCTTATTTTCATAATAAAAGTAACTAATTTTAAAATTTTGGAAATAGAGAGCAAAGAATATTTAGAGACGTAAAATTTGGTTTAAATTATAATTTAATTTATAAATTTTATAAAAATAAGTAAAATTAAATTAAAAATAAGACACTGAAGAAAGGTACCCATAAGGTACCTTTCTTCACTGTCTTATTTTTATAATAAATGGAACTAATTTGGAAATTTGGAAATAGAGAGAGAATATTTAAAGACTAAAATTTAATAATTTAGTGATGTGAATGTAGAGGGGAAAGATTTACTTTTTTCGAAAATTGAAATATTTTGTGTAACTTTATAAGATGATGATGTATTTAGCACTAGTGAACTGCATCAAGGTCGTTGGAGAAGTAAGTAGCGTGTCACATCACCGGCATTTTATCGAATGAGTCTTCTCTCCTCTTGAGTCGATGCAAGTCGAGCGAGGCAAGCGAGGCAAGCAACGCGAGTTACTCATGTGTACCGAAGTACACATACGAACATCGAGTCATGGCAATAGTCGAGGGAATCGTGCCAGCAGTGCTTCTGTGTCGAGGAATTCCCTTCAAGTGACAGCATCTTCTTTCGCCTTTCCCCATCTAAAGTGGGTTGGACCAAAGAGCCTGGCGTTATGGCGCGTACCACGTGACGCTCGTCCCGCGAACAGTGGTGGCAGTGTGTTTCATTGGCCCAACAACACCCCAAGGACTCGAGTTGCGCCAACCATTTCACCCGATTCCAACCACCCGTTGAAAAAGCCGCGCGAGGCGTTCCCCGAACCTCCACCAATGCAGCGACACGACGCGTCTGATTGGCGCCGTTTAGCCAATGGGCGAACCCACCCGCAGTCCACTTCGTCTCGCTCTCGAGGTGGGAAGCCCTCATCTCACGCAAAAGGGGACATCTCATCACGACTCTTGGTACCTAGCAGGCACTTCTCCGTAGTGGGTACTCCACTCATCGTGTCGTCTACGGGCTTCGGCTTTGGCTGTGGGGCCGCCCGGGCGAACAAGCCAAACGTTGGTCGAGTGGGTCTAAGCGGCCGTGAGGACCTCTCCAGGAGAACCCAACAGTCCTCTCCATTCATTCATTCATCCATCCAGCCAAGCATCCATCCATACAGCAGCCGCGCTCCTCTCCACGGAGAGAGAGAGTGTGTATCCTCGGCGAAGGTGGAGGCGAAAAGTGGTTCGTCTATCGGACGAGTCCAAGGACTCAAAGACCCTCCGGGTGATTTCAGTCGGCCGCCGGCCGGCTGTGCCGGCCACTACTGCGCCCACCACGTGTGCATCGTCTTCTTTTTCCAAAAAACTACATTGTTGTGTTAGTGTCACAAGTGTCATACTCAAGAAATCTTCCACAATTCACCCAGACTGTACTTTTTCGTCTAGTGATTTTCCCCTAGCTAAACTCGAAACTTTGGAAACTTTCTGTTTGCTGATCCAAGTAATCCAAGTCTTCAGTGTTTAGGAACAATTATTTTGTGATTTGTTTAACTTAAGTCTACTTTTCATTACTAAAATTTTAAGCCTGGAACCAAGAAGCAACTGGAGTACAACTTCATCATCCTAAACAGTCAGCAATCCGCAGGCAATTTAGTTTTAAAGTTTGGGAACAGCCTAATGCAGCTGCGAAAATCTGAACCAAAAACGAGTACTATCGAAAGGAGACATTTCTATCAGGAAAAAAATTAGAGGAAGAACCCAAAGGATTTACTACAAAACCGCAAAAGAATCAACGGATCCCTCTTTGAAAATTAGAAGTGCATCTCATGGAAGAGAGTAGCAAAGACTGAACCTAAAGGCGTTGAACAAACCTTTCGTGTTTAGTTTAAAGAACCAAATCCGTGGAGTTAAAAGGATGAACCGAAAATAGTGAAGTGCGGGACGACGGTCAGTGTGAGTGAGTGTTAGTGGAACAAAATCGGCCGAAGAAGGAAGAATGTTAACCAAGAGTTTGGGATAAGGCTCCACCATTCTGCTTAGCCGGAGCCTGAAGTACTTCGACAGTGTCGAGGTCCCCGAGATGAGCGGTGGTAGTGGCGGCGGTAACGGAGGCGGCAGCCAAGGAACCAACAATGCTTCCTACCACCAGCATCAACAACAGCAACAACAACAACAGCACTCTCAATTGGAACAGGCAGGACTCCTGCCGGACTTGAATGGCGTTGACCTGGCTATGAGCCTATCGCCCAAGCAGCATTCGTCTCACGTTCAACCCGGTGCTCACACAACGCCATTTAGCGTCTCGGACATTCTCTCGCCAATTGAGGAGTCCTACAGGAAATTGGAATTAGCGGCGGCAGCTGTTGGGGTCGTGTCACATCCCCAAGGATCGCCGTACACGAATGCTTGCGGTGCTCGGGTCGGTGGCAACACGGGCAGTTCGAGCGCGAGCAGTGGTAGTCCACCTCTTCACGGTGGTTCAACGCCCGGTGGAAGTACACCGGGTCCAGTTACGGGTACGAACGGTGGAATTGGTGCGGGAAGTGTTGGTGCAGGTGGTGCAATGAGTGCTATGGGCAATCCCTACGCGACAATGCAGTTGACGTCGCAATATCAATACTGCGCCGCGGAACTGTCGCCTTATCATCATGGTGGGCCTGGTGTTGGCGGCGGTGCTACGGCGACGGATCCCATGAGGTCCCATGGAGTGTCGTCGCATCATCATCCTTGGTATGCTCCGGCGCCTCCTCCGACTAACGATGCCCGATTTGCCAGTGAGTATTCGCCACAGTTTTATTTTCTTTTTCTTTCCCACCCCACCTCTAAACAATCACCCGTCCCTCAATTAAAACAGATCATTTCACCACTTTTTAGGTCAATTGCAAAGTGAGAAATAACGATTATAAACTGACATTGAAATTTAATAAAAAATCATTCCAAGAAAGCGTTTTCCAAAATATTTCTTTTTACATTTTTTCGATAACTTTGTTGTTTTGGGTCAAAAATAGTTAAAAATAGATCAAATGATGCGTTTTTTATTAAAATACAAGATACAAATAATAATTTTAGAGTTTCAAAATAACTTAAATCAAAAAAATGTAAAATAAAAAATTTCGAAAATTCTCTACTTGTTTCGTTCGGCCATACCTTTGTTGTTTAAGGTCAAAAATGGTTCAAAAATATATCAAACGATGCGTCTTTTGATTAACTATAAGATATAAATAATAATTTTAAACTTGCAAAATAATTTAAATAAAAAAATTGTAAAAAAAAAATTTCGAAAATTCTCTACTTTTTTTGTTCGGCCATAACTTTGTTGTTTAAGGTCAAAAATGGTTCAAAAATATATCAAACGATGCGTCTTTTATTCAACTATAAGATACAAATAATAATTTTAAACTTGCAAAATAATTTAAATAAAAAAATTGTAAAAAAAAAAATTTTGAAAATTCTCTACTTTTTTCGTTCGCCCATAACTTTGTTGTTTTAGGTCAAAAATGGTTCAAAAAGAGATTAAACGATGCTTCTTTTATTAAACTACAAGATAAAGATAATAATTTTAGACTTGCAAAATAATTTAAATATAAAAATTATAAAATAAAAAATTTCGAAAAATCTCTACTATTTTAGTTCGGCCCTAACTTTCTTCCTTTAGGACAAAAATAGTTCCAAAATGAATCAAATGATGCGTTTTTTATTAAAATACAAGATACAAATAATAATTTTAGAGTTTCAAAATAACTTAAATCAAAAAAATGTAAAATAAAAAATTTCGAAAATTCTCTACTTGTTTCGTTCGGCCATACCTTTGTTGTTTAAGGTCAAAAATGGTTCAAAAATATATCAAACGATGCGTCTTTTATTTAACTATAAGATATAAATAATAATTTTAAACTTGCAAAATAATTTAAATAAAAAAAATGTAAAAAAAAAATTTTGAAAATTCTCTACTTGTTTCGTTCGGCCATAACTTTGTTGTTTAAGGTCAAAAATGGTTCAAAAATATATCAAACGATGCGTCTTTTATTTAACTATAAGATATAAATAATAATTTTAAACTTGCAAATTAATTTAAATAAAAAAATTGTAAAAAAAAAATTTTGAAAATTCTCTACTTTTTTTGTTCGGCCATAACTTTGTTGTTTTAGGTCAAAAATGGTTCAAAAAAAGATTAAACGATGCGTCTTTTATTTAACTATAAGATATAAATAATAATTTTAAACTTACAAAATAATTTAAATTAAAAAATTGTAAAATAAAAAATTTTGAAAAATCTCTACTTTTTTAGTTTGATCATAACTTTGTTGTTTTAGGTCAAAAATGGTTTAAAAATAGATCAAACGATGCGTCTTTTATTAAACTACAAGATAAAGATAATAATTTTAAACTTTGAAAATAATTTAAATTAAAAAATTGTAAAATAAAAAATTTTGAAAAATCTCTACTTTTTTAGTTTGATCATAACTTTGTTGTTTCAGGTCAAAAATGGTTTAAAAATAGATCAAACGATGCGTTTTTTTCTACCCTACATGCAACAAGCACAAATTTCATATATTGGGATAATAATTTAAACAAGAAAATTCACAAAAGCAAAATATTGTAAATTATCATATTTTTTATTTTTTCAAAAACTTTGTCAATTTAGGTCGAAAATGTATCAAACATAAATGAATTGAAGCATTCTTAACCGAACTGTAAGAAGCAAATAATAATTTTGAACTATGATAGTTATTAAAATCAAAAATATCTAAAACATAAAATTTTGAAATTTATCTATTTTTTTTGTCAATAAATTTTTTATTTTAGGTCAAAAATTGTTTGGAAATAAGTCAAATGATTTGTTTTTAACTCAACTACAAGATAAAAATAATAATTTTTAATATGCAGAATAATTTAAATTTTGAAAAATTCCAAAATTTAAAATTTTGAAAATTCTCTACTTTTTTAGTTTGTCAATAACTTTGTTATTTTAGGTCAAAAAAGGTTCAAAAAAGGTAACTTGATATACTTCGGCTTAATTGTGATTGGCTCGGTCTAATTTCTGAAAACAATAATTTGATATTAGTTTTAGTTGTCCATATTAGAGGGAAGAGTTCGTAATGATCTCCGCTAAGATTTGAAATTCACAAGAAAATAGTTGTGGTGAAAATGGGAAACCTTTGGATTTGAGAACAAGGTACAAAAGGTGGTGTCAACTTCCATTAACCTTACATACGTCGCATTCCTTTGGTCTTCCTCTCAACACTATACACTATATATCTCTTCACTCTCTCTTTCTAATTCTGATTGTCTTTGAAAAATTAAATAATCCATTACAGTAACTTTTTGAATCATATTAAAATTTGAAAGTAGTTTCAAATTTTGGTATACAAATTTAAACAACTTTCAAATTTTAATGCTGTTGAAAAAACATTGTTTTGAAATTTCGATGTATTATCATATAATATTATATTTTTATATCCAATGAAATGGATATAATAAAAAATCTCAAAAATGAGGCTAATTTCGATATGTTGAAGTATATTTAATGAGTAAAATAAAGGACCAGACAGTCTGATAAATTTCTCTTATTATTTTATTATTTTTTTTTTAATAGGGTGAAAAAATCTCTGTCCCGCAGTCGACGAGAACTCACAGTATACGGGACAATAGAAAACGAGTTTTGACTGACAGACCAGAGGGTGTATATATGCGTGGTTACGATATAACCTCTGCCAATAAAGAAACGATCGACGTGAATTCCTAACAGCGTGTGTGGGAGCTCGTTAGAAAAGCATGCGTTCCTGGCCACCCTGTCAGGCTTTTTATTTCAAAGGATGAAGAACACACACTCCTTCTTTCAATCCTTTCTCAAACACCAATTCTCTCAAAGAACATATAAAGAATATGAATAAATTCATTTTTCTTTTTCTCTCCTTGGAATTTTTTTTCTCTCTTGATGAATGTTTATAGTTTTACATATACTAAGAGTATTATAGGATTATCGATATGGCGACACAGTATAAATTGAGACAAAAAACGAATCATGATACTGATAATTGTCAGCATCATGATTATTGGTAAGGGGCCATACTTAAATTACGTAACGCTTCGTTTTGCAATTTTAGACCCCCCCCCCTCCCTATGTAACAAACTTTTACACATTCGCGCCAATTTTATGCTGAGTGTAACAAACATCTTGACCCCCCTCCCCCTCACTCCCTGAAGTGTTACGTAATTTAAGTACGACCCCTAATCATGATGTTGATAATTATCAGTATCATGATTACTAAAAATAAAATGCCAATAAAAATATGCTAATTTACTGTTAGCTTATTAAAATTATAAGATACTTATTATGAAAAATGTCTCTGAATTTGACGCGATAGCTACTTATTTTTGTAATATAAAAGTTAGCCCTTCTTCAGGTTGTAAGTCTGAATATACATTTATTATGTACGTCAAAATTATCCCGAGAACTATTGTTATAACGTTCAATTTCGTAAACAACTCAATCTGATAGTTTAAGGAAAGGAATTAATAGACACAGTTCACTTTAAACTTTAATTTATTTAATTTTATTTTTAAACCATGAATATTGGATAAAGTGAATTTAAAAGTGTGAGTTAATAAATTGAGTAGAGCTTACAATTAAAGACTTGCTCTCTCAAGAGTGGCTAGGTAACTGTCGAATAAAAAATGGAGAAAAGTTTTCAAAGAGGTTAAAATGAAAAATTTGACAACGTTGTATACAATTTAGAAATTTGGCAACAACGCATACAATTTTGGAAAATGTGAGAAAATTTTGAAGATGGTAGATTTTGAGAAAAAACAGATTTTAATTTTATTGCACTCATTAGCCAGGATGTCGCGACGAGAGTCATAAAGGGCTTAAGATTCAGAGCCTGAGTGGTACAGAAAAAATTGAGACTACCTGGATTCATTTCTAGCCCATTCCCGAAGTTTTCAGCTTTTTGCATTTTACACATGTTGACCAAATGTTCTTAAAAATTAACAAAGATATTTCGTGTCCGTTGACGAAGAAACAAAAATTCTCCTTTTATAATGTTTTTGAAAATAAATTGTTTAAAATGTAAGAAAACATAAAAACAAAGTAATCATATTTTGAGATTAATTACAAAATTATTTATTTGGTGGTAATTTTAGAATTGAACACTGAACATATTATATATATGAAAAGTTATTTCCATAGTTTTTATATTAGAATCAAAATGTTTAACTTTGTATTTATTCTTCGTTAAATATTCAGAAGTGCCCTGAATTGGAATAATTATTATTCATAGTATAGTGTTTATCTTGTTGGTTCAAATGGTTTAAATAATATTTAATATATAAATAGAAAGTGGAAAATTGTATATATGTCATTTTAACGTCAAATGTAATGACATTCGATAAATCGATTCACTGATAGGGAAGTTGATTGGTTGGCTTTTAAAGGATTATAGTTTTTCCGAAGGGAAAGTTGTTCGAAGCGTCGATTTTTATGTAAAAACTATAAATGTAGAGAAAATTGTTCTAATCGTTCTAAAGGTTCTTTAGATGAAACTTGCTATTAAATATAACACAATTTTCCTTTGATTGTTATTATTATAACAATTATGAATTTTATTATTATAGCTTTTCTCAATAATATATCTAAGACCTCGGAAATTGAATTTCGGCAATGCAAGTTTATCAAAGCTGTACGTGCAGTCTATATACTCTCTTCTTGTGGGTTTATGTTTCAGAACCTGAAGTTTGTTTGTTTAACTAAAATCTTTCTTGATGTCTACTCGCCACGCGTCCATCGATTAGATTTTCAATGTGTATGTAGCCTACATATAAAAAGCAGACAGTTGGTCTGTACTTCCAATATATTGAACTGTATTGACATTGAGGGATGAAAATTCGTATATTCCCTCATATATCCCGTATATTATTTGATTGCTATAAAATCCTTGTTCGAATTTTCGAAATCCGCATATTCTTCTATTTGCAAATCGTAATCGTTACTAACATTCGATTTTCATGACCAAAAATCGGAATCAAATGAAATATTGATCTAAATTTTCAGTCATCAATTTGATCCACTTTAGTATCAATTGGAATTGTTGAAAATGTGTATTTTATTTTTATACAAAAGTTGTACGTGCACAAAAATTTAGGAATAACAATATTGGAACCCGCAGTTGCAACCAGTTGGACCCAACAGTTGAAAATAAACTTTTATATTTCTATATATTGACGATGACACATTTCACCCTTTATTGACACTGAAACAAGAAACTGTCGCTCTTAAATATATTGTGTATCATGTCTAAATGGGACTACCTTGTCATCGAGACCCGAGTAACTTATTTGCCATTGAAAGAAATAGACGTGATCCGTCGGAAGTTGCTGAGATTATGTATACGCGCACCTTTTATGCTTTTATCCCACAAACACAGATTTTTCGACCAGTATTCTCGAGACACTTGTTCAATCTAATACATCATTTTTGACTTATTGCTCGTAAAAATAATAAATTTGCGTGATTGATAATCAAAAACAGCCGAAGGAAAATATTTGACGCAAAAGTTTGTTTCATCATCATTGTAAATCTGTACATAATCATTTATAAATCCATACATCATTCTTGTGAAACTCTGCATGGTCGGTGGGATGTTACTAAATTATTGGTTTTAAATACAAATTTTATTTGGACCAAGTAAAAGTATTATATTTACACCAAATGCTCCAAATGGAAATTTGAACCTCAAGTAAAAGTTTGAATCAATTAAAAATTTGAACCGTATAAGTAAAAATTTGGGTGCACTATATATACATATAAAATAATAATTTCCAAAATACCAATTTTTTCTCGACTGATTTTGTCAACAAACGGATTATTTACTGAAGAGACAGAAAAAATTCGAAATGACATGTATGTGTCCTATTTCGTTTTTGATGACAGACCGCACCTGACATATTTAATAATATAAACGATGGTATTTATAGAACCGAACAGTAATTGTGATGGACTAGTTACATACATAAGGGTTTTATTTATTAATAATGATTAACCTATATACAGACTTTATGTCCATCATGGTAGCAGACCTCTATGGCTTCAGATAATTTTAACCACACATTTAAAATTGCAATGAGTCTTCTTGAAGAAATATTTGCCCAGTTTAGTATATATACAGAAAACGTTATGGCAGCAGGTCTTTCATTATTATCTTTACCCAATGCCAAGATCGCAGAACAAAGATGAAGTCAGTTTTCGTTCGCAGGTATATTTGCTAAGCTAATTTTAATATGCTCCTTCGAGAGTAGCACAAGAAATATAAGCTTCATTCTTTATTGATGATTCTCTAAATACTCATACAGCGTATTCGCAAAGTTTTCAAATTTTCATACTGATCAAATTCTTTTCTTCCACATACAGATTAGATTCGTTTAACTATTACACCCAATTCAAAATTTGAATTCGGTTCAGTCTCTAATTTTGAATTAGGTCCAAAGTCTCTATTTTTTAATTAATAATATGATATATGGGTTCAAAGTCTAATTTTGAATTAGATTCAAAGTTCCTAATTGTTGTTTGAAAGGTCCTGAAAGTGCGCGCAAATTTAACCTCTTCTAAATTTGAAACATGTTTTAATATTTATTGAAACAATCAAATATTTAATAATGTTGGAATGGAATAGCGTGAATTTATTTTGAAAAAAATAAAGGATAAATTTTTCCGAGATTCATCATCATTATTATTTTTTTGTTTTTTGATATATTCATCTTGTCTCTAACGATGACAAGAGAGGGGTGAGCAAACATATATGAAAATTTCTGAACATGGGAGCAGGACCTCCCGGTATATATCCTATAGGCATGACGATGCATTTTCGCGCCTAAAACTTTTTCATTGTTCATTGAGTCCTCTTGTGTCTCTGTCCATCTTTCTCTATATGTATACACAATGCTGACAAGGGTCATCCTCCTCGATGAGTTTCGGTAGCTTCGATTTCTCACTGGAGTTGTTAAATTACACGTATTTTACACTCCAATATATATCTACATTCTTAGACGTCAAGCCCTCTTCAAACTCCACATACCATGATAAAAAAATATTTCTCCAATTTATTTTCATTTATGTTATGTCCCATATATACTTAAAGTATGCGGTCATATTAAATTTTACGTTAACTGATATTCTAGTTTCACATAAAATTTCAGAAACAGATCTAAACATTAAAAACATTAAAAAACATTTACATTATGGACTGAAGTCCATAATGTGGAATGGTTTTGAATTTTCGGATCCAAAGAGAATAATCAAGGATGTGCTTAATATGTTTTGCAGTTTCGCGACTGATGGGTGCCGGTTCGAATATGGCCGGATGCTCGGTGGGTCAGTCGATGGGCGATATGTCGAAATCGTCGGGAATGGGAGTCGGTGTTGGCGTTGGCGTTGGCATGGGCGTTGGTGCCATGCAATTTCCTCTCGCTCAGAGAAGGAAGCGACGAGTCCTCTTCACCCAGGCCCAGGTCTACGAATTGGAGAGGCGATTCAAGCAACAGAAATACCTCAGCGCACCCGAAAGGGAACACCTAGCTTCTCTCATCCACCTCACACCTACTCAGGTAAGTTTTAAATTTTTAGATTTTATTAAGTTTATCCATTTGCTTAGGTTGACCTTAATTCTTAATCCATACTAAAAATATCAACTTTTAAAGGTTGATAAGTAGTACTTTCAAGAAAGCTGTACGACTAAAAGTTGACTTAAAGTTGTAGTTCGTAAAAAATTATTCGTTTTTTCCGACGCTATAGTTGAGAATTATGAAAAAAAATTTCGATGACTTTTTCTTTTCTTGAGCAGAGAAAAATGTCTGAGTTCTGTTGGTTTAGGATTTAATATGACATTTCGGGGATAATCAATATTGAATAAGACACGTTGATGATGGGAGTGACAATCCTTTTTTAGTATTTTGTTTATTTTATGCTTTAATATAGTATTTTTCAAAAATTAATGTATGTGAAAATTGCCCCCCTCATCGCTGTTGGTTGACCGCAGTGAAGTCATAAATTTAATGCCTTACGGAATCTAATTTTCTAATAATTTTGATCAGCTTAACCCAATTTTTAGTTTAACCTGTGCCTATTAGCAGTTCTAGTTTCTTATCAGATTACATAAATCAGATTTTGATTTAGGTTCCTCTGCATAACCTTCGGAGCAATTGTTCTGATGATGGTTTTTTTTCTTCCTCTAATATCATCTCCAATAATATATAGTTATGTAGAAACGAATTATAATGAATCTTCGAGATGATGAGTCTTTTTAGAGGTCAGAGAGTTTAAAGTCGAATGAGAAATGCTCATCATAAAAGAGAGAGAGAGACCCGAGATGAACCGAGTTAGTGCGGCAGTCTGGCAACAATAAATAATTGTTACACAAATCATTGGCCGCATCCTGCATCAGTTCCCCTTCGGTCTGTCTGCCTCTAGTCTGCACTCATTTAAATATATAATTTTTAAAATCAATTAGAAATTTATTTTTAATTTTTTTCCAAAGGAAAGAAAGAAATAAGGAAAACGAGAGTCAACAATTTGTAGAGAGTGTAAAACGAAATTTTTAAAAATAATAAAGTCTTGGAATGGGTTTTCTATATAAACGAGAGAAAAAAGCAGCAGAATATAAGGGTAGTGACAAAAATGGCAAAATTCGCTTTTTCTATCTACAACCACCTCTCTTTGGCTATATAAAACTTGACTGCAACGAGAAGACGCACTCGTGACGGAAGAGAGCGTTCGAGTGCGCTCTATAAGTCTCAAGTACGATCCCAGTACTCAGTGTACTTGTTCGTATCCGTTACATCGATGGCTCATTAATTCAGATTCGATCCTTGACCTCACTCTCGTTTCCGATTTCTTCGGTTATTTCCCAATTTTTCTCTCCGCTTAATCGCGTTGATGAATAAAAGAATTAAGAGCCATAATTAAAACCTTTACACCAGCTTATTTATTCATTTTGTTTTCAATGGAATTTTTAATCTTCATTCCACGTTAGGTTGTACATAATTTTGCAACAAATGATGAATTATAATTTTCTTCATTTAGCACTACAGCTGTTTTTAGCAATAACAATAGTGATAGTAACAATAGAATTAGTACTATGATAGTAACAATAACCAAAAATGATAGTGAATGAACATAAACAGATCTTTTGGATGAATTGGAGAACACACGTAACACGCCATGTTTGCGTGGTGAAAAATCTGCTACTCCTCTGTGACAATATGTGTGTGTCATAGTTATGTATGTATATGAATAATGTACACATATCTCAGTGCGGTATGTACTCTCCCTGTACTCTTCACACGAGACACAGATGCGGCCCTCCATTTTACGTTCGCATTGTTACTTTAAGTGCAGCCCCTATTGTTGCCGCCTGGCCACTCCTGGCATTGTTACTTGCACTGTTATTATTATCGCTACTGTTGCCCCGACGAACAGTGGGGAAGACCTGGTTAGGAACCCTCGCCAGCTGCCGGCCGGGACACACATCTATCGCGCTCATATTAGGGGCAAATTACTCTCCAAATTTTACCGCGCGTGTACCAAAAAGTATTCCGCCCGCCGCGCCGTTTGTTTCGTTTCAAAAACCATAAGGCCCAGTTGGGCCCCACTGTTAAAGTTTGGTGGCTACTTTTTTACTACTTTTTTTAGTTTGAAAGCTACTTTTTAAAAATTAATTATCGAGTGCGAAGTCTGCGGGTCACATAATTCACATTATATATTAACAACATTTAAACACTTGTATTTTTTTTTAATATTCACGTCTAGTGAATAATCGAGCGTACGTTAAAAAAACGTCGAAGGCATTTTGCTCCGCTCCTATAAACGGGGCAGCTATGTGGCAAACGTAATTGCATTTCCCCGCTTCTTTTTTTCTTCGCGTGCGATGGAATCCAATTCCTGCACTCGTCTACAATATTCATGAAGAAAATGAGAACATAGAACATGGCGCTCTTTTTTTCAAAACCTTTACCAAGAGGTAATGCGCTGCACTGCAGTATGTGCAGCATGCAAGAGTGAGAAATTCCTTCATATATATGCAACGAGATGCGAGGGTGCATACATTGCAACTATGGCAAACATCAGGCATCTCACGCTCTTTTAAACGTTCCACAAATTTGCATGTTGCATTCCCCTCATCCTCTACTGATACATACGTCAATTACAGTTTGCAAAATTTTCCCTCTTAATGTCATTTTTTCCAATGGCATAAATATTATTAGGCTGAAATTCTTCATTAATGTTAAAATCTACTAAAAGTATAAACCTACTTTTGAGCTAAATAGGTACGCATCTAAACTTGCAGCAACATTAACATTTCCTCAATATTGTGAAACTTGCAACAATATTGTCAATGTTGCTGTAAGTTTAGATGCTGTGGAGGATGTTAGTAATGATAATCTTAATTATTAGCCTGTATCACACAAACTTTTTGCCGAACCACCAACAATTATAATTAGAAAATTATTCTTTGTCTTGTAATCAGTGGCATTAAATTTGCAGAGGTATATAAAAAAATTGAGTGTTCTAGAAGAAGAGAGTCGAGGCTATAATATGCCTCGTGACTCCTCGTCGTTCTCGTTCTCGAGAGGCACGGTTGACATTCAAGTGGCATTCTTCGCGAACGGAAGTCGATGAATCCCGGACCTCTAAAAAAATCGCTCCCTTCTCGTCGCACTCGTATATATACATTTCTAGTAAATATATATATGTACATGTATTTTGCTGTATATATAGAGCGAAAAAGCAGCAGAGAGTAGGTATACGCGTCGCGTCGTTGGATCAATGATTTCTCAAGCACGGAAGTGAGCGAAAGAGACCTGATTGCAATCACGAGGTTTTCAGCTTTCAATAACGGAACATTTTATGTCGAAAAAAAGAGAACGTCGAGGAGAAAGCTTCATCGCCATTACTGCTTTTTGTATATACGCGTGCATATATATATATATATATATATATACGTAACAAAATGAAAAGCATTTTTTTATGTTTATACTGAAAAATATCTTAAATGTTTTTGGTTTAAAGATGTTTAGGAACCTATATAAGTACATTACATCTATTTAAATTGCATTGCGAATATTTAGATGCAATAATGCTATCTTCTAATTTTTCTACTTCTTCTTTTACTTCAACACTCGCTGTTAACTTGAAAGTGTCAAATTGATACCAAAGTTAATCAAATTGTTGCTAAAAATTTGGATCAATTTATGATTTGATCATCATTTTGCATAAATTTGATACTTTCAAGAAAACTGCGTGAACCTATATAATTTTTCAAACCTTCGCAAGACTTTTAAAAAATCCTAAAAGTCAGATAGGATAAAAGTTTTGAATGGCAAATTGTATTAAAGATAATAAATTATACATGTTAGTATAGATTTTCTGTTGCATATTAAGATCATAGTGTTAAGTTTCTCCTGCTTGAAAAGAGTAACGCAATTCTTTTCCTCAGCGTCGAAAAGAGGAGTCGATGTGACGTTTATGCAGGATAATGCGAGATAAGATTGCAAATGCGAAGAAAGAAAGAGAGAGTTAGAGAAGAAGCAGGCCCGTCGGGTTTCGCAAACAGCATTAAAGTCTCAATCTTTGTTCGAGCGAGCAAATTTCAAGCGAATGGAATCCCCTAAAAGACCTCATACACTGCAGGTACACAAAATTATATATGTATATATAACCGAGTGTATGTCAAAAGAAAAAAGAGAGAAAAGTGTTAGCATGGGGGATGCTTGTGCACACAACATTATTTTTCTATAGGGATACGCATCAGCAATGGCACAAAACGCACATATACATTTACAAATATAAACCTCCTAAAGATAAAGGAATAATCTTTATCTTAATGTATATGATATCGTAAAATTATAATTCGTCATAATTTTACTTCCGGATAGCACAGTAAAAACATGTACTAAAGAGAAAAGCATGATGCTGGGTCAAAAACTTTGAAATCGAAAAATCTTGAGGTATACCTCAAAATACTAACTGGATGCTGTTGCATAGTTCTAAAACTGTCATCTGCATGCGTGAAAATTTATGAAGATGAATAAGTTACCTCTACAGAACTAAGTTCAGACAAATTTTGTAAACATCTTTCATCTTAAACAAATTCTCTTAAAAGCATCAGACAACAACAGCATTTACTGACAACTTTTGGATTACGGCTTTTTAGAATATATTTCGGAATTTCTGGTTTTGGATTGCAGCTTTTAGGCATTTCGAAATTTCTGATTTTTGATTACAGCTTTTAGTCACTTCGAAATTTCTGATCCTCCGTACTGGACCTAAATTTAAACTCAAAATTCTTGATTCCGAATAAGTTAACAGAATATACTCTGTAAATTTTTGTGATGCTGTATACGCATGATAATCCCTAATCCACATTGGACGACAACACTAAATTTCTAAATCAGATTAAAACTATAAAAAAAGTTGCAAAGAAGTAGCTATCGAAAAAACACTTCACAAAACTGCCAAAAATTCCATTCAATATTTTATTTTTCTGACTTTTTCCTAATTTTCATAAAAAATATTTATTTATTTCTCATCCTGATGCTAATAAATTGAA